AACTCCAGATATGGCCAAAATATTGAACAGTGCCCGGGCTAAATGACAAATTCGGGCTTCTTTGTTGTTGCTATAATTTGGACTTGAAAATGGCATTTTTAGATCTTGGGCTCCATATGAAAGTTGTAGGCCTATGTCTTACCTTTCCATCCATATAAAGTAGACCTAAATTTGAGATCTATAGCTCCAGATATGACCCAATTACCGAACAGTGTTCCGGTTTGGATTGCACCGACATCTCTTTTTTAATTTTGGTCATCTCTTTGCCCTTGCAATTTAAGTTCTTAAAGTCATCAATCAATCCTTTCATTTATGTGATAGGCCTGCATTTAAAATGAACATTTACCACAAATTAAAGGTATCTTATATTATTAGATATATTATTATAAAACATGTTTTAGTTAAGGAGTTATTGATACTTCAAGTGCAAAATGATGATATAAAACCATGATAAAAATACACTTTTAAGTACTGATCAGTGTGTAAACCCAAAGCAACCTTGTCTGCTCCTACAACAGCATGATTATTGGCGCGAGCTTGTAATTGAAAGAAACTTGACTAAGCTTGATAGAATTATTTGTGAGTTCTAGCCTGCTTCCATTCAATTAATCAACAACTACTCTTATTGCAGGGCTGCGAGCTATTGTCAACCCCATTCGACTATTGTTTGCTACTAGCAATCACAGAAGGAGTCTGCTAATTCTCAGCTTGTGTGTAACTCTGCTAATCCTCAGCTTGTCTTGGTGACGATGGTGGTCGAGGGCTCTTCTTTTTTATTGTATTTCCTATAGCGCAGCATCGCCAAACAGCCTTTCATCCAATAAATGACCTTGTTAGCGACTCCCCATATTTTCCTCGTTGCCTGCAACAATTCTATCAGCTATCCAATTTCTTATTCAACTCGTACATAACCTCCTTTTTTTATTTAGGCCCTTGCAGATTTTGCTTCAGCGAGTCCTGCCCAATAGGGCTCATAGTAATATTTTGCAAGCAAGGGGCCGCTTTCAACTTCCCAATGGATCAATAATAAGCTACTGCAGTAGTAAAAGCTTCTATCCAACCAGCCAGTGTAAGGCCTTCCCCTGTTGGTAGCAATGTAGCTTCTTCAAGTAGCTGTACTTCTGCCACAACAATGAGCTTCAACTACCCAAACTTCCCTGGCAATTTTGAAGAATGGTGCGTACCAGATTCCAATCCCTGAACATGTTATGGGCCACAACAGCTTGCAGAGTAACCCATCCTCAGGCTATGCCTTTCTTCAGTGGATCAATTTTATTCTTCTTGAATGCTTCATCCTTCACAGCTTCAGCAACAGCAACAACCATTCATACAGACACAGCAAAGCCAATAGGGTCATCAAAATCCAAGTATTTCTAGTGGCTCCTCGTCATCCCAGAAGCATGTGCAGAATCAGCAGCAGAAACCACAAGGGAGTGAATTAGGTGGAATTGGTAGCGGTCATCAAGATCCAACCATCAGCAGAATCATTCCCTGCCGAACTAGCAGCGGCAGCTGATGCAAAATCAGAATGTTACTCACAAACACCAGCTTTTAAGATCTCAGACATCTCCTCCTTTAGCAATGTCATTTGCTCCATCAACGGAACCACAACTTCCCCAGGTCTTGATGTTTCATTGATGGTACAGAATCATGCTCTCCTCTAAAGCCCTCCAGAGGCAGCAGGCATGGCTATCACTTCATCACTGCAGCCTAAGCAACACAGCAGACGAATTACCGTGTGTCTGAAGAAGGGAAAAATGGAGGAAATGACACTTCAAATATGGAAGGAGAGAGGAAGGCCGATATGGTTGGAGGACAGATCCCATTAACTGATGGGCAGTCAGTTGTGTTCTTTCGGCAAGATTTAACAGACTCCTCTGTTTCAACAATGCCTGTGAACAATGTTGTTGATAGCTCAGCCCGAACTCTTAACCTTGGGTCCACTCTTGCTCGGACCTCAGGCTCTGCTATGTCAGCTACTATTGGCAGTGTAAATGCACCAAGTATACAACAACAGATGCAGCGGAATCAGCAGCAGCAGCAACGAAGTCAGCAAATCCTTCAACTTCAGAAGCATCAACAATTTGTAGCTGCAGCTTCCACTCATAATGAAACACCAACAATTAGTAATGGAGGTGTTTCTTAGGACCACATCTCATCATCATCATCTATGGGCACCAAGTTACCTAATGCACTTTGCGTTTCCTCAAAATCTTGTTCAAAGCGGCAGTAGCAGCAGCACTTAACAAAGTATGCACAGCAACAGGCTCAAATAATCTACACTAATGCTTTTATGCAAGCTCAAGCTCAAGCTCAAGCTCAACATGTGGCAAATTCAACAAGCTTTGCATCAGCAGCTAGTGGGTTTCATCTGCAAAGACATCGCAATGAGCAGCGACCAGAATGCATCGGCAACCTCTTTTACAAGGATGTTGTTGTTATGTCATCCAGTCATGTAAATTTTTGTGACTCCCAACCTCCTAGCAACCACGAGAGGATGTTTCTAGTTTTTTTCTTCAACAACTAATGCTGAGAAAACAAAAATAGAAGAATAACTGACAAAGCTCCATCATTCGAGCAGAGATCACCACTACAATATCCTCTTCCCCAGTTACAAGTGAAACTGACAAAGTCATTCTTCATAAATTAAAAGAACTGTTGGAGACCAAACAAAAAGAATTATAAGGACACAGCTGAAACCGTAGTATGCTTATGGTTTCTTATGCTTTGGAATTATTTTTTTTTAACATTAGCTTGTGATTTTATGTTAAGAAAACATGCTTTATGTAATAGAATTTCTTTCCTATTAATAAAATCTATATTTTGTCTTGGCTCGTGTCTTATTACCTATATTTTCATTATGTTTTAAAATTTATTTATCTCTTTTTTTTCATGCAAACAACCATACGAGTTTCAATGGTTTTAAAGGATAGTGTTAAATGGTTTTAAAGGATAGTGTGACTATACTTAGAATAATTTCTATGCTACCTGCGTATCTTTATGAATAAAAGATTAAGTCATAACATAGTTTAAATAATTTTTTTTATCAAAGAGTTTTTTAGTGTGTATGTGTGTGTGATTGTACTCGAAACGAATTTCAAGTTACCTATATACCTTTATGGATAAATATCAAGTCATAACATAGTTTATTTTTTTGTTTTTTTTTTTTGCCTCTCACAGTTTTAGCTCGTGCAAGCAAGAGCAACGTCAAATTTCAAGTATAGTATCGTTTCAAGAATTTGTTGTTGATAGGTCCAATACTCAATCCACTCTCATCAACAATTTTGTAAGCTCTATTGGTATAAACTTCTTGAACAACATAAGGGTTATCCCATTTGGAGAGGAACTTGTTGCCCATATGTTTTGACATGATTATTAAGCATTGTACTGTCAAGACAAGATCTCCTTCTAGGAACAAGTGTGGTCACGCTTTTTTGTTAAAAGCTCTACAAAGTCATACTTGATAACATTCTAATTATTGTTATGTCTCAAGATGCTTTTCATCTAAAGCTTCAAGTTCTTCGAGGCGTAGACAGACATTATCTTCATTGGAAAGTCCTTCTTGGATCACAATTCTTAAAAATGGAATTTGACATTCTAATGGAAAAACAATTTTCATCTCATATACCAAAGAATATAGAGTAGCTTAAGTCGGCGTTTAGAATATAGTATGACAAGCTCATAGCACCTCTCCAATTATATTATGCCTATCCTTCTTTAAGCAATTCACCACCTTCCTAAGAATATAGCATAAGATCTTGTTAAAAGCTTCTATCAAGCCATTAGCTGAAACATTGTACATAAAAGAATTATGTTGTTTGAAATCAAATTGTGCACACAACTTGTTCATGGTTGTATTGTATAATTCCTTTCCATTATCATTTATGATATATCTTGGTACCCATAATAGTAAATGATATTTGTCTGAATGAAGTTTATAACTGTCTCTTTCTTCACCTCTTTTAATGTTGCAACTTTTGCCCACTTTAAAAAGTAATCTGTTGCAGCAAATATGTAAAGATGCCCCCCAAAGCTTTTTAAAAATGATCCCACCATATCAAGTCCCCCAGCATCAAAGGGCCAAGAGGCAACTATCAAGTGTAAAGGTTTAGGTGGCTGGTGAATCAAATTAGCTTGCAATTGATAACTTTGACATTTTATAGCATAGTCTATTTTACCCCATTCTTTTGATCTAGAAGCGAAGCTTAGTACCTAATTTGTGTGCTCTATAGATCCCTGAGCGTGTTTCTTGTAGTGCTTTTATAGCTGCTCCTTTTCTGAGACGATAGAAGTTTTGTAATGGAGGAGGAAAGTTTGTTAAGATCTTGTTATTTCATCAAAAGCTCACAACATTGTATAGAATTACATATAAATAGCAATCCAAATTGCAACTCATAACTGACCAAAAAGCAAATAAATAAAATGTTCGATACAAATAACTTAAGTTAAAACCTAATAATAGACTTAAATAAAGTCTAATACCATGGACCTAATAGATGCCCAATCCCTCTACCAAAGAGTGGCGGGTTGGATTGTCACACACACACACACACACACACACAAATATATATATATATATATATATATATATAT